GATTTACATACAGTTTTAGTTCACATACAAATTTTTGAAGGCCTCCTGAGAACTTAAAGTAATAGGACAGGAGAGAATGATGCAGAATTCATTTTAATTTGCTTGTCTTGGAATGCCCTTTGCTGTTTATATTACAGATTTCAATATACATCTCAGAGGATCAGAGCAAGTATAAATATCTATACCAGTTTAAAAATGTACCATTTTTAGAACCTGTCATATATTTTCTGGTAAGGCATGCTATTTATCATCTTCTGAGGACCATTTTTCTTAGAAATATGTAAAAGCATATATACAGCTAATGTACAGGATCCCAAAAGCTGTAGCTGGAAACATAAATTAAGCCCAAAGTGCTCAATTTTAAATGCATCTTGCTTTTCTGCAGCACTTGGCTGTCTGGATCTCAAAGTGCTGTCAAATTTGAATGAGATGAGTTTCACAAAGTTCCAAGGAAGGGTATAGCTATTATTTGGTTTATGTCCATTATTTCATAACATCATCCTCCTGAGAAAATGCTGGTATTAAGATTACTGCCCACCTTGCTTCTGAAGCTCAAACTGAAAATCTGGTTATCTGCTTAAGGTCATTTAAAAGTATATTCTCTTTCTTCCCCCACCTACTTACCTTCTGTAACTTCTAGTACTGAAAAACAGCAGCAGAACGACATTAGTATTGTAATTTTTGGTGCACAGAGACTTTAGCAGTTCTTAGTCTCTCTTAATGAGTCTTTAGGTATTCTGAGAACCATACCCAAATGATAGGTATTGGGGAATTACTCATTTGGAGGATATTACCTTGGTGTGCTGCCACTTGGCTACTCTCATTTCCAGTTGCTCATCAGCAGTGCCCTGTCTGCAAGTCACATCTGAGCTGACTTTAAAAGTTGTATCAATAACAGTAAGCAGAAACACATGAAAGGAAGCATAAATTACTGGTAATGGTGGTGCTCAGGAGTGGTAAACTTTTAGGTCATTTACCTAAACAGTTAAACTTCTGTAAGCTAAAAAGTAAGGAAAGCTCACCTAGTCCAAAACATCTCATTTTTTTCTTTCATAAAAGCATTTGTTTACTTTTTTATACTCCATTTTTGGTGCCATAAAGGTCATCTGTGTTAAGTGTGTTGAGATCCTCAGCAGCCAAAATGTATTAGAGCTGCCACTAAGTTGATTAAATTGACTAAAACCACGGCAAAAATGGCTGGTAGACCACTAGCACGGGGTTCTTTTATGCTATGCTACAGTTCTTAAACAGTTAAGAAAAGCAATTAGCATCGAGCAAGCATACAATACCATTTTGTTCTGTAATTCTACCTGTCACTTTTTTATTTCCCATTTCATTCTCATCTTTCTTCATAATTGGATACAAAAATACTAAGCTGTAACTACTTGTGCAAAGAAAGATGAGAGGCAGACCCTGAGCAGATCAGCGTGTGCGTCAGAAGCTGCACATTATGAAAATCCAAAATCAGTTGGAAAGTGATGATTCAACCAATAATATACAGTGTGATAAATGTCACAAACTGAGGAGCCAGAAAGCTGAGTTGTGTGGCTGAACCGCTCTGATAGTCACTGTTTTTCACAGACCAGTGCTTGCACATCTGTACTGGGAAGTGTCTGTTGAGGAAACAGCACCAGCCATAAAATACTCAGCAATGTCCTGTATGTAACAATGAAGATTTGAAGGCAAGGACACCTGGTTGTGCATTTAATTCTTTTTGCTTTATTAAGAACTTGAACAACAACGAAAAGCAGGTGGACAGGGCAACTGATGTAAGGTCTCCTTTGGCAGAGATTGCATTCCAGCAGTGGGTGCTTCTGCTCAGCCCTCCCCTGGATTCACTGAGATGTCGCTGTAGCTGGTAGAATTCAGGGATGGAGGCCAACAGGGAAGTTGTTATTGCATCCAGAGAAAACAAATGTCTGTGTCTTGTTACACAAATTAAGAGCCTCAGTTTCACCATGTTCCTTCAGGTGCTGCCTGGCAATAGGTGCTGTGTTTGGTACCACAAAGTCTGTTATTTTGGTGGAATAGCTGCTCTGAAAGATTTAACAAAATTAGAAGTTGAATCTTTGGGTTGAATCGATGGGATTTTGCACCCTCTACCCCTTATGTAGTGTGGCATTTGGGAGTTTCTGCATTTTCCATGATACCAGACTTGATGTTGCTTTTTCTTTCTGACTTGCAATATCTCTGGATCATTTCTACTTTACTTAGAGCACTGAATTTGTTCTTTCCCATTTATTCTTAAACTTCACCTCTGCCAGAGAACTTCATGGGACTGAACGAGGAGATGCTTTCCCACCATCAGGATGGAAAGTGGTTTATCCCAAATCCATCTTTGCCTTATGACAAACCTCTCTTCTGAGGTTTAAAGCAATGTCCACATGCTAAGTCTGCACTTTGGGTGATAAGATTTCCTTCATTGTCTTTTCTTGCATTTTTGAAGTGTCTAAAGGAATCAAAAAGAATAATAAAAATAGCCAGTAATTTATGCCTACGTCCGGATAGCCTGACTCTACAATTGCTCATGTATTTTTTTGGAGGTGATTCACTTCTAGAATTTCTTTGACCCCTTAGCCAGAAGTCTAATAAAGGAGGGACAGACTGACATAGTCGTAGGCACAGCTCAAGGTCAGTGTAATTAATAATTTTCATATGCAGCTTTTAATTTGAAGAACTTGAGGGGTAGAATCCCAGTTTATCCAAAGCATATAACTCAAGTGTACAAAGTCAGGAGGCAGCTGCCAGAGTTAAGGTCAAGAATGCACCTGTAGTGTTTTTCTGAACTGGGGAACACTCTTTTCCCCTAATAATATAACGTTTTGCACAACCCAAACATGTAGGTCAAGAGGTCAGAAAATTAGCACCAGTTATAACACTCTTGTAAAGGTGGGGGGTGGGTGAAAACAAAACCTAAAACCATTCATACGTTTTAAATGGTTTCCCTTCCCTCCATTCATGCAATGATACAGAACAGCTGGTCATGAAACCTGGCTGCGTATTTGTTAAATGGGAACAGATTACTAAATCAAATTTGTTGACCAATTTTCAAGTATGTGGCCTTGAGATATTAAAAAAAAAAAAAAAAAAAAAAAAAAAAAAAAAAAAAAAAAAAAAAAAAAAAAGGTTTAGCATTGCCCAAAGAGAGAAGGGGGTAACAGGCCAGGGATACGAACATTTCATACTGGTGGGATTTGGTGGGTGGGTGGGAGAGGGAATCTAATCGCTAACTTTCGCGTGAGTACCCAGCTAAAACCTCAGGGAATTTTATATAGTGCATGTTGTCAGTATTTTAATCATCCACAGCTGTCAAAACTCTTGTAACCCGCCTCTTCTATTTAAAATGTGTCTTCTAGGCATAAAATAATTAAAGGTGCAGGACCATAAGGTAGGCTCAGAGCCGCTGCAATGTGACAAAACTCCACATATGAAAGGCATTATTTCAGGAAGTTTTAAATATAAATTTTGTTTTGTCAGAAGGCTGCAGGGCACACATTTTCTATACTGTCAAGCTTGATAGTAACAATATTTATATTTCAAATAAAAAGATTAAATTGCAGTCTTATGTGTTTCTGGTTTTCACATAGTTTTTACCAGTGTATCATAGTGTTCCATATCAGTGTGTCATCGAAACTTTTTTTTTTGCTGACACCAGTTTTGCTTTATTGTAATATTAAGTCTTGTACTGTCAGTCCCTGAATTGAAATAATGAGGGCAGACAGTAGTTTAGTTGACTAGCCTATATCTTCCCTTTCCTCACCCACCCTAAAAAAATCCCCTGAAAACAACACAAATTAAAAATTAATTCATTGAAAAAGGCAATTGTAAAGACAGAGGTTTGGAGCCTATTAATATAAAATGGCTTTTTGTGTGTGTGTGTGTGTTCTTGTGCAACCTTGTGTTTGCTCTGTGTCCTCCTGATGTCCAAGAGCCCACCTTGCAGACTGGCCTTCATGTGCCCACCAAATGCATGTGTACTTCACAAAAGGATCAAAGCTTAGTGGGGAACAGAGATGGGAGAGGAGGGGAGGGCAGCGTAATTTCTGAATATTTTTATCTTTATTTGTTTGTTTTTAATATTAAAAGAACTAACCCAAAGAATGAGTGTCTTGGCCGTTTTGAGCTGTCTGGTTGGCAGGGCTTTTGTGCCACTGCTTGTTAGCTGTTGGTTTTGAACTTTCAGCCAGTGCCCATGGGCTCCTCGTTCTTCATTGTTCAGAGCTTGGAGTCCCACGAGCTGGAGTCCCAGGGTTGGGCTGGTGCTGTCTGTGCAGCATCAGGGCTTGACAGAACAATGGGGAGGAATAAGGAGAGGGCTCATGTTGGAACTGCCAAGTTGGAGTCACTGACCCAGCCAGCTGGGGCTGGGTTTGCTCCTTTTGGGTTGAAATGTGAACATTTAATCTGTGGCACTTTGGAACTGTCAAAGACTTTCTGTGCTGATTGATTCCCTGGGTTCTACCTCTGCATGATGGTGAGGATTTTTCTCCCAATGTCAGACAGTGCTGTTTGGTGTGTAACAGTTTCTCTGACCGTGGTGTGCTTGATGAACTGGGTTAATCAGAGAAGTTATTCAAAATTTGGGTGTTACACTAACTCCTCCAGAATTGCTATCAGCTTAGGTGTGATATGGGCTTGATTCTTCTCTTTGTCTTGCTGCTTATTGGCACTTCTGTCACTTTAGGCCTTTAGTCTGCCATTTGGCCAGTCATTATTTTATAATAATAAGATTTTTTTACAATGAGAAGGTTTCACTGAAGAACAGACTTGCCTTTTCCATGTATACATCCATGTCTCTGTACACCAAGCTCCTAAATGCTTTACAAAAGAGCCTGCAGGATTAATCAAAATGGGAACAATAGGGGAAGATATTTAAAAGTAAAGTTGTGTACAAATGGAAGGCTTTTGCATGTAACAGGGGACAACAGGTGGCATTACCCATTTTGTGCTCACAGTCTGATCTCAGTTAACATCCCCAACTGCATTTTTTTTTTCTTCAGTTTGGAGCTGATGGATGTACAAATCAGGCCATAGCAGCACACGCAGCTCAGATGAGGGAGCCCTATTCCGATGGAAACATCTGGTTTCATTACACCAGGTAACACCTGCATAAAATTACATCTGTGTGGAAAGTCCTTTAACAGAATTTAGTAATTAAAGTGAGGCAATCTAATCAAAGAAAGGCATGGAGAAGGTGATACATGAAGTTTTGTTCTCTGCCATGTAAATAAACTGCATTAGTATATTGGGTCTTGAAAGAAACAGTTAACATCAACAGCTTGCAACTGAACAGATTTCATGTTAAAAACAGCCTTCCATACTATATCCCCAATATATATTCTGATCTTCCAAACAGATCTCCAGGGTGCTGTTTGGATTTATTGCACTTAATAGCATATTGTTTGGAGTGTACAATGTGAGGGTCCGACTGAGTTTTACTAGGGTATTCTGTGTCTCAATTTCCTTTCAATATGTAACTGTGTCCTTTTCAAACTGTGCTTTAAAGCCTTGTGCAGTCTTTGTTCTATGCCTTATCAACTGGTTTTTAAAAGGTCAAGGCTAACCTAGACCTGAGCATCAGCAAGGAGCTCCCTCAGTGCAGGGACACAGAGCCTGGGGGCTTCTCTGCATGTTGTCTCTGTGCACTGTGCTGTGTCTGAGCCTGGAACCAGCTCAAAGTGGAATTTCTGGAATTGATTCTTGGTTCTCTTGTTGATTCTCAGGAAAGGAGATGGTTCCTCTCTCTTGGAGTAGGTTCTGTGTTAGCCCTACATAGTGTACAGGCACTTCTGGCTTTGTTTGTGTGATATTTTACCATCTGGCAGTGTCACCTGGAAGGCATAAATAAAGCCATTGTTTCACGGGTTGTATCAGGGGCTGCGTATATTTTTCTTGTCAGAAAGTATAGAATAACAGATCCAGCAGAAATCACAAAAAAAACTGCTGCTACTGTTAGAAACCGATAAAGGACAACAAGGTTAACACTCCCAGCTTTAGGGTGAGTTCCAGCAATTCTTCATGGAGCTGACTGACATTTTTTCCCCATACTGTTTTTCTCTGAAAGCTGACTTTTTTGGCCAGAGTGGGAAAAAAAAAGAAAAATTACATGCAAAATTTTCATCTTGATAATAAATGCCCTTGCCAAAATTAATAAGTTTTCCAGACCATCCCTGGAGAAAGAATAGTCCTTGGAGCATAGCTGGAAGTCAAGGGCTCATCTTGGAAACCGGCCTTTTGGTAGAGTGTTTCCTTGTCTGCTTCTGGAACAGCACACTGCTAATCACCTGACCTTTGAGCAAATGCAGCTGATTTGTTCGGGCACTTTCATCCATGTTAATCCAGATGTGCCTTTTAAAGCCATGTTCCTCCTGTTGATCGATTGGTGTTCTCAGAATCCCTTTCTCTGTGCATGTGCCCTCAGGGATGGGCCACAGAGCAGTGCAGGGTTTGGGTGAGCCGGGAGGGAGAGGTGAACTCGGGGGCTGAAAGGTCGCCTTGTCAGAAGCAGTCTCCTGTTCGAAAGGGGAATGTTTTAAACTGGTTGCCTGTGCTGATTGCTGCTGCTGCTCCCTTCTGCTGCAAGCTGAGGCCCAAACACGTCTTTTCATGTAAGCTGGGTTTAGAGATGGGGACTAGAGCCAGGAGCAACTTGCGATGTCTCTCTTGCACAAGCGCTTTCAACGTGAGGCCATTTAATGCTTCAATCCCAGAGTCAAGAGAGTGCATGAAATTGTGGCTCCACAATACCCACAAAAGTCTTTCCCTCCTTCTTCAGCATCTGTAAATACAGTTGAGATAGTGTTTGCTTGCTGTTTACAAAGGCCAAAAAAAAAATGATAAGAAAAACAAAGGAGGCAGCAGCAGTAAACTTTCTACAGAGCTTTAGCCTACCAAAGATTTAAAGGATTGACATTTGCATTACATTTTTCCCCCACCCAGTCTTCCTCATTAGCTGGATATCTTTATTCTCTAAATATTTACCACCTAAACCAAATTTACAGTTTAATTTGCTGCATAAAATCATTTATTGACTGATAAAGCTCATTACTAAGGCCTAGCCCAAGCTGTAGCCTGCCATGACAGTTTTAATTCTTGTAGCAGCAGGCTACTGCAAGAGAAAAACAATCCTGTCACGTTAACGGCAGGGGTCTAAATTATTCAAATACACTAAATCCTCCCAGAACAGTTCCCCTGCCCATAATTTGTCTTTTCTCGCCCACAATTAACTAGCAATATTCAAAGTTAACAATGCCAACTCTTTTGAAATCTCAAGGAAAATGGAAATATATATATACAGCAAATGTTCTTAGAGAGGAATACATTAAAAGACCAACGCTGGGAGACTTCTAGGGAATGTAATCAGTTAAGTGGACCCACTGCTTTCTCTTGTTAGAGAAGAAATTTGCTGGATATTTGTGTGTGTACAGATGGATTTGATACTGAGTTCTAGTAGTCAGGTGGCATAGATTCATGGCTATTTACTCCTGCCAATGGCCTCTTCTATGGCACTCCTGATAGCAGATGTTTGTCAGTTCTATTGAACTCAGAGCATGAGTTTTGTCTTCCATCTCCCCTCTTCTAACAGAGCTTTTGCTGTCTTCATGATTATGAGTTATTGTAAATAATTTCAGTACTAATATAAAGTACTGGGGCAAAACCATGTAATTTACTATGAAAACAGTGAAGACTGAGAGATACAAGTGGAGATTGCTGGTGCAGCTCATCTTGCAAAAGCTGAAGGTCTGAATCTGTCCCAGGTGGGAGCCTCAGAGCTTCCTTTCCAAGTGAGCTCACAGAATTTAGACTGGCAGGTGGTCTTTATACAGTTCTCCAGTTAGAGCAAATTACAAAGTCAAGACAAACTGAGACTGTTCCAATCTGCTTTTATTGTTGACTCACTGTCCAGTCTGGTTTCAGTCCTCTGCATATTGCAGAATAGGGACTTGATATTTTCATAATTTGTCCTTTCTTACCAGCTCTATTAGGTGATGGACCCTCTCCTGCATCCACAAATAGCCACTGAACAATGCAGGGTGTGAGACCACTCCAGTGATGATGAGGAGTAGCTATAATTGCCTGTAAGGGACAAAGAGTTTCATTCCACAGAGGGCAATCCAATTCAGGTTTGTCTTTCCGTGTGTGTGACAACCACAGCCCATACATCATAGTCAGTGATGGGCAATAATAAAGTCTTTAGCATTCAGGTGTCTCATATAAATATGGCTTCTACATAGCACTTTACACTCTTTCAGAACTGTAAGTCCATATTTCCCTTGTCCAATTCATTTTCCACCTTCAATTTCTGTGGCAGTTCCAGTGCAGAATAACTTCTTGTGCAGGCCTTCAAAGTGAAAATGATGGCTCCAATTTGTGACCAAATAGCTTTGACATTGTCTGTACGTTTGCTTGAGTTTATAAAAGACTTTGGTTTTCTTATTTAATCCTTTGATGTCAGAGCAGTCTGAAAAATCAGTAATTCTTTCTGGTGTGCCCTTAGTGACAATTTTAACTCTCCCATGAAATTCTCAGTTTTTAAACTCATAATGTGTCTTTTTATCCCTTCGATAGCACACAGAGTGCTTTAATGCTGTGAAATCTTAGATCTCTGGAAAAGTGCATAAAGATAGGATGAAGCTAAAATATATGAAAAGAATATGGGAGATTGTGCATTATTTGCTGCTCATCTATATCAGCACTTCACAAGATGTGGGCCACAGTCCCTCTGGTGATGATCTGCCAAATGTCTGAAGTTCCCCTTTATTCCCATTTACTTCTAAAGGTATCTGTGTTTCTAGTCCAGTCTCTGGGTGGTGGTTGAGTGGGCAGTAGCAGCTGCTGGATTGATATGTCTTTATTTGATCTGATATCTATAGTGGGGACTGTGTGTGCTGCAGGAACAGAGGGTACTATAGAAGGTTATGTATATGCTTTCTAAGTAGCCACAATCTTTCCTATTCATACACCCATAGCAGTGGAACTGGACTTTGACTCCTAAAGCATGTGCTCTGCTGCTGAAGATAAAAGGGAATTATCAGGAGGAGTGAGGCTCCTACCAAGTTTGGATTGGCAACGCTAGGACTGATCTCTGTGATATGTTCTTGCGTGTGTGCTCTCCCTGTGGGCTCTACGTGCTGGGATTCAGCCTGGTACCTGAGAGCAGTGAAGGTGACTGCTCGTGGTGATGCTTTGGCCCAGGAGCCATGGGCAGTGTTAGATGTGCATTTGTGCTGCACTCTTCTTCCACACTTTCAGTGTCCTCTTCTGTCCTGCTGACATGCAGCCTTTGCAGCTAAATCCATCCTTTGTTGTTTAAACAAAACTGTGATGGATAAATGTCGACAATAATCCACGGCGAACTGTGTTGTTTTTTTCTTTCATAATGAAGAAAATTTTAAAGCATCACCTTTCTCCCACAGGAGTTATCCATGTTCTTGGAAGATTACTTAACACCCTCCTCTGTTTGCATTATTTATGTGCCGTCTTTTTGACGGGTTTCTCATTTCATCTTTCTGGAATGCATGTGGTGGCATCAATTTGCTCTTTAATAGTTTTATGTTAAAGAATGAGTAGACCTTAGGCATCTCTGAAACCAGGTACCTTGTTTAACCACCTTGGTTCAAGTTTTATCAGAAGACATTTTATTCAGGATTTCTGAGGTATCCTTCTGGCTTAGAGTACTCTGGGGTGGCTTGCAGGTAGAGCCTATTTAGAATTTCTTACCTCCTTAATTCCTCTTGCTATAGGATCTCAGTCATTTCTGCTTCTACGATGTCAGACCCCAGGGCAGTCACCGGAGGGTTTAGTTTGTCCCCGGATAAAAAGAAGCATCTGTACCACTGCATCTGAGCATTTCACCTGTGCAGTGTCACTGGCCTCCACTGTGTTTGGAGTCGATGGATCGGATGCTCCCTGGCGTGAATCGATGGGACCGCGGCGGGTTCAGTAGAGCTGTGCTGATTTGCACCGCCTTGAGACCCGGTGATGCAATCCCAGATCAGTCATTTTGAGCTCCCTTTTTGACCATCTGCCCCTGGTTGTCGTAGGCTGGAACGAAGCCGTGGGGAACTTGACCTGTGCTTGTTTATTCCGAACGTGCCC